GAATTCGAGATCCCTTAAACCCCCGGGCCTCATTGGCGTTTCCACTTAAAGCCTTGTGGAATAGTAAGGGTTCGTTCAATATCTCGTGAACCACGGCTATGAGAAGAGCTTTAGTATCTGTTTCAGGGAATGGCTCCCCAGTCACGGTGGACATGACAACACTTTGGGGTTTGGATCCAGCGAGTGCTGCGGTGACAGCTTCGTCATCGAGTCGAAGCATCTCCTTGATATCTACTAGCCCATGTAAATGTTTCGCATGGTACGGGCCATAAACTGGTATAGCTGTTGGCCTCGACTCAAATAAATCTTTGCTGAATAAAGACCTCAAAGTTGCTGGCGGACCAGATACCGCAATGTTATTCGCGGATACGGCGCTAACATAGGCTTGCGCGGCTTGAGAGATTCCCTTGAAGACGATTAGATTTAATGAAGTGTAGCAAATATCGAGAGAGTCTTACCTCCGATCTATGAAACTCCGCGAGTATGGACTTTGCCTCCGCTTCTTTGGCGGCAGGCAACACATAAGTCCAGCTTTCTGACTCTTCCGTAGAGGGGTTAAGCCTCTCTGCTAACGACGCTACGTGGGATCCTGTCCTGAATGCCAACAGGACGACTTGAACAGCGATTGGGAGGAGCGTTGAAAGCGAATAGCTCGACGCAATAGCGGTTGCCGCAAACAGCCCCGTGCAGAGCCCGGAGAGTTTGGTGTGTCTGTGGTCGGTTACATCTTCGTGCTCCTTTTCGGAGCGACTATTCAATAGCGTTAGTAAAAACTCGTAGCTAACAAGAACTCGCTAGTTGCCATACTCGATGTAGTGCGCCAGTTGGGCTATGCATAATAAAGCAGAGTCTATGCCGGGGAACTTCAACCTCTGCTGGCGGTATCTTTCGTTGAGCTGCTGTAGTGTTCTGAACACCGGAATCCGTCGGCGGCCCTCCCGGGGTAGACGGTCCACCTCGTCCCTTAGAGCATCGCCGGCTAATCGGAGGAATTCTTTCGATAGGACGCTCGGGTTTCCTCGTCTATAAAATTCGGCCAGGAAGCCGTGTGTGTCGAGGGACTGGTCCCCGAAGAGTAGAAAAGCCATCTGGTCCGCCATCGTGTCTGTGATGGGTGAGGCTAGTGTTGTTTGTTGGTTAAGATATTCCAAGCCGAGGGCGGCGGTCGAGGTGTCTTTCACTTATATATATCAGATCAACACAGCACCACTTGGATAAAGCTAGCCTGAACTAAATATAACACCAGGACAGTGCCTAGTCCCATGTGTGATATCTACCACAACACCCCAGGTGTTACGACTGGAGACTAAGAAGGGGGGGTGCATAGGGAAACTGTGGACTCACACCCTGGTCTTCTTACAATACCTCCAAGCAGTCCGGCGTCATTCGATTTCTCGGTGACCGAAGATTCATGGGAGATAAGCATTATATTTCCATTTCGGGAGGGAGTAATTGGGTGAGGGCTGCTACCCAGCTTAAGTGGATATTCCATGTCTTGTCCGAAGGTACGGGTCGCGGTAGGAAGCAAAGCGCGTCAATCTCGACCTTTATTTTGGGCTGAATGGTTCCAGAACCGACAATATATTCTCAACTCCTAGAAGCTGCATGCCTGGTAGGTAGGTAACCTCACTGCGGACCCGTATTGATCGGGGAGGTATGGTTTCTCCTGCCCTGACTAACTTGGAGCTCCCTGATGTGCGCTACTAAGAAACCCTAGAGAATCTGACACAATAGGTATAGCTTCTTCGAAACTATGGGCGGCAAGGCTTGTGTATTCTTTTCTCCCGGCTTTCCAATGAATTACTGTTAATCTTACTTGGGCGCCAGACGGTGGGTCGCTCGTTGCTGGCCGTTGGGGATGTCCGCCGAAAAGTGCAGCACTAGTAAGCTTTTGATGCACGTCAGGACGGAAGAGAATGAGAAAACTGTGCTATATCAGCCGTATTCAGTAAGTCCCCGCCACGAAAATAAGAAAAAAACAAATTGAAAACGGAATATTGTAATAGGGCAAAGTGAGACTAAGCCCAGTCAGAATAGGGAGATGATCGTGTCTCACTGAAGAATGGCTTATTGTACTCGCGCCACTGCCGGTTGGTGTAAGTGTAATTGATATTGATATATATGGTAATCGATAATTCTCGCACACCGGATTGAGAACTAGCAACACTGCTTGCTATCTTAATGCTACTGCGTCTCTATAGTATTCTCATTAAGGTGCTAAGTATTAACACAATCGTGCCAACTAGCATCGCACCAAGAGCAACGTAAAAGAGCCGCATCGAGACCTTTCTCGATGAAGTTTAGCTCAAGCTGAACATCTTGAGCATCTTCAGCATCCCATCGTTTGCCTAGAAGCTAGTGTATATACGCCCGCTACCTACTGATGAACAGGTACCGAGTACGACCGAGACTATGGTATGGTTATCCATGTTTTGCGATGACAGGGAGTAGATAATGTGTGCAATGTCTCTCGCCACTGTCTCGGGATTCCAACTCTTAATGGAACTCAAGAGCTCATGATGCTCTGGCATGTGGATGTGCATGTGCATGGGACTCTCTTCAGCCGGCTAGCTGTTGATATTCATTGCTCATAGTTTACTTAGACGGGGACTTGCAGCGGTATGCCGGCACCCACGGACTAAGCTTTGCTGCTTTGGGAAATAGTACAAGGGTACCAGCATGCTAATAGAGAATGCCAGATTTTAAAATTCTAGACCTGGCGTTGTCCGTGATGGCTGGAAAGTATTTGACATGTTGGTTGCATCGTTTGTAAAGTTGAAGTGGGAAGAATGAGTAAAATCCAAGTCACGTCTTTTGCACTTAACGATATACACAGGTAGGTACCTCCTAACGTACCTAACTAGAGTCCCGATTTGTTACCTTTTCCGATTACTTGCATATTAATAACAAAATATCGCGTTTAAGTGGATACTCAAAGTCTCTTATGAGAACTATTCAGTTCGCCATTTTTGCATTCTTATTAATTCTTCGTACGAAGGAATACATTTCTCATTTAACTCGCTGGTCAAGGTTCTATCCAGCATAAAATGAAGCGTATTGCTACAGTTTTCCTTGTACTCGGCAACTAGGTTATTATAAGTATCTTACATCTAATGCAAATCACGCGTTTGATTCACTCATCTGTGAGACATCTTCGTATAAACATGAGAATTTGTAAAATTGAATTAAAAGTTTTATGCTAGGTAAGTACCTGAGTACTTACCCCTGGCTAACATTGCCTAAGGGAAAGACTTTACTCCAGCCCTTAAAGACCCATGTAAGAAGGTACATACATAAGGTACCATCACATACCTAACGCCACGTGGGATAGGGTATCAAAGTACTTTTTACATCTTCATTTAATCCATCCTTTTGTTTTTCCGCAAGTCGTCAATTATCTTTCTACACCCCGTAATCCTTTCTAAAGTCCCCTTTAAAACCGCTGACTCGTAACGCGAATCCTCGTAAAAATCGCATTTCTATGCCATCTCATTGTCTATCTTGATAAATTATACCCTAGAATGTACCGTGATGCGCGTCAATCCGGACTTTAGGGTAGTAGTCTAAGCATCTTTTTGTTCCTCAAGGATTTATAGCTAGCAACCTCCTTCGTTATCAAAAATGTCAGCTTAGATATCGTCATCGAGGTCAACTACATTATTCCATTCATCCGGAGGCAAACTTTCTTCCGAACTGTTCTCTTACCTATAGGCATACTCACCAACGGGATATGGCAAACATGATTGGAGTTTGAAGCATCGGTCTGGCCACCCACACTCGATGATAGGTACTATCGGACCTCCGGACTGTTATCGTGCAGAATCAAGCCAGATGTGCTGGGCCAAATTTATCATGCAAGCCGATTGCCTAACAGAGCTCTATCATTCAGACCTATGTGATACAGCCCAGCTTGGTACTGTATTATTCTGCTGATACATCATGTAACCCAATGCTTTCTCTCTACTTAGAAAACCGCAACCCGTTAGCCGGGTTCTTTTCAAGGGCTTAAAATGGGCCGACAAGTAGATCAACGTGCATGGAACCACGCGATCAACTATATCGGATATATTCCCAACTACTCAGGTCCAATCTAATGAATCACACATTCTCGCCCTAACTCTATAGAATGACTCGAGGCAATAGATCTCCTAGCCCTCCATCTTTGGCCGTTCAACCCAACCTTTTTGTAATTGGTCCCATTACGATCGAGATTATTAAACCCAAAGGAACTAGGAAGACTTCCGTTGGCATGATCTTGTCGGCAATTATCACTTTAACTTGGTAGATGGCATTATCTATCATTGCATAACAATGCTATATACTACTTCATCTTAGAGAGTATAGGGAAACAGCCCGATAGTTTACATAACTTATCATAACAAGTTAGTAGTTACTACTAAATATTAATACCTACACTAACCTAGGAACTTCTTTTCAGGGGTATAACTTAATCAACGGCAGGTCAAGTAATACAGTCGGTAGACATCCGCAACTTAATCGGATTAAATGCGTATCGTAACACTATCATTCGCCCGTGATCCTACGACTCTAAGAGACGCTATAGGTAGTCTACCTACCCTGATTCCAGTCATGTCTCCAGGATCATTAATAATCCCGCTGATGCACAGGGTTAGGTATTACGCAGAGTTAATCTAACCTCGTATCGGCGTTCTAGATGGCGCCCTCCATCTCCCTCGCCACCTTTATGCCCGCCTCGGACTCGGATCAAGGGAACCCCAGTCTGGGAAATGCTGCTAACATAGGTAGTAGGTAAAAGCTGAACCTCCTATTTCCGTGAGTCCTACCCTAGCCCCCTTTTCTCATGCCGAATTCTGCATCTCGTCTTATGGTGGGCAGGCCAAATAAAATGCTGACGGAAGTTAAGCATAAGCTGAGAAGATATCTTGTGTAACACCACCAGAGCCAGACCGCGCACCTCCACACAGACCCCGAGTACATAGTGTACGTACGCTTCTCCAAGCTAAGATCCTTCCCGTGGGGCTGAAACCACCACGTTGGTTAAAAATCAGGCATAGGGCTGACAACAGTACAGTTCCACCAATCGTAACTGTCGGTTCATAGATATGATTACCAACGCATCCCTTGGCCGTCGGGAATGCTCGAGAGTCTTGTTTATTCCAGAGAACGAGGAGCAATCTCTTAGGACGCGAGCAAAGCCAAGAACGGGACAAACAACGACGCCAGGGGTTATTGCAGTGGTAGGATCCCTTGCTAGATAGCCAGGCAAGGCATAAATGTGACGAATGCCACGTTTGAGTCCGTATACCTATACGACCTTCCTGCTCCGTAGTTCCGATGCCCAGCTCGAAATAGACGAAATCTATCAGCATCGAGAAAGAAGACGATCCGAAGTACCGTGGCGACAGCGATGCTTAGACACGAACTTGGACCCTTTACGTCACTCAAAAACGATCATGATTGTGTTGCCATTTCAAATCAGATTTCACTATGGTATAAGCCTAGACTAACAGGTGAGCTTCGACTAATTTCCCCCGTGCTACAATTATTAACAGTATACCCATTCATAATAAACAAAACATGGAACCCCAGGCACCAACTAGTTCGCGTTTTCTTCGACGTATGACAACGACCTGCTTCAAATTGGCCTTTCAGCTCGACTCGGTATACATGGAACTGCACAGCATATATTAGCACTATTTCTTCGGGTCTAGATCTCGCAATACGTACCCGGTATAAGTTGTAGGAGGCACCGTGACAAACCCATCCGTGTCCGCCCAATCTTCGTTCCCTGCCGCATTTCCCGTGGTAGGGATGCCCATGGCATCGCAGGCGTCGAGGTGGTCCTGCGGGATCGTATAATCGCGGAGCTTGTCGGGAGCCTCGATGAGAGTGATGCTCAGGCCCATCTCGACATGCCACTCAACGTGGCAGTGGAACAAGAAGACCCCGGGGTTGTCGGCCTTGATGCGGAACACTGCATACGACTTGGGGTTGATAGCCACCGTGTCTCGCCGGGGTGGTATGTCGTTGATGGCAACGTCAGCGCTCCAGTTCCCCGTCTGACTCTCGGGGCGCGCGAGGACTTGGAACTGGTGCCCGTGCAGATGAAAGGGGTGAATGGCATCGTTGTTGTTATTTACAATGATTTCTAGGATCTCGCCGTACTCGACTATGAAAGCGTTGACTTGGCCGTATGCAGCAGTCTCTGTGTTATTTTCTCCTAGCGAGGCTGCGGTGTATAAGGCGGGCACCTTCTGTGCGATGTAAGTGGTGTCATTGAAGCAAGCCCTAGGGTAGTCGTTGACGTCGAAGCAGTAGTCAAAGTTCAACACTAACTGCTTGTCAACCGGCTCATAGACGCTCTCGTTATCATGAGGCTGGAAAGTTGTATCGTCGAAAGGCTCGAATTTTTGGACGGTAACTGTCCCGCTCGTATCTTTGTTTGAATCTGTAACCAACATTCCTGTAACATTGAATGGGTATATAATAGGTCTTGGCGGATTCTTCTCTGCGAAGTCTTCGTTCACGTCTAATGCAACCAAATACGGATAATTCCGATCTGCATCTTCGGGAATGGTTATTAGAGCATCGAACCGTTGTGCAGCAGAGATTCGCAGTTGTTGCGCAGTTTGCCTTTGCACGTACGACGCGTCAATCGAAATAACATCCATGTCCAGGGAGTCAAACTGGATGAAGGTAGAGAACATTGCAGACCAATTAATTATTCGGAAACGATATGTTTTTCCAGCCTCAACAGATATATGACCATCACCACCATCATTGACAAGGGTGCTATTTGGAAGCGGTGGCGCAAATTGTGTATTATTGGGGTTGATCATCGCCTCCATCAGTGTTGGCGTCTGGTCCCGGTACCTATGTTATTGATATGTGAGCAACCTGAAGGGGCACTTTACCATTGCATACGTTTGAGCTCACCAGTCAGAAAGGGTGAGGATGACTTCTTCGTCGTAATCATCTTTAAAAGGATCGTCTGGGTCGTGAATAATGAGCGGGCCACGAAAACCGTCAGGATACTGCCCCATGCTATGGGAATGATCTGTCATGCTATTGTCAATATAGGGGGCGGCCCAGCTGTCAAGAGCCTTCCTCTACTTACACCAGTATGTACCAGGAGCATCTGCCTATGTATATTGATTATTAGTCTGATTATCCCCTCCCAATAGTATACTTGCCTTCACTACTTACATAGAACCGGTACTTGACAGAATGATCTGGAGGTAGAGGGCATTGGTTTGTACCAACGGCGCCGTCCATCGAGTTCGTATTTATTTGGTTGATGCCATGGAAATGGAGGCCAGTAGTCTCATTCCCTAGTTTGTTATTCAAGTTAATACTGATGAAATCACCAACATCTGCCTCGATAATCGGGCAGGGCCAATCATCGTTTATCCCTATGACTGGCCTCCCAAATCCATCTGGGCTGGCGAATACCCAAGTTACGTTCCAGTCATATGACACCGTCTTTGCCGATGACCCTGTGACCTGGGCCAGCGCGATGAGCAAAGGAATGCATCCCCTATGCATCGCATTCAATGGGAACTCTATGTTGGCAGGGCGTGAGTCTTCGAGGTACGAAGCTGGGATTATAAACTGAGAAAGAATTTAAGACAACGAAGACTAAAATGCTTGAAGAGCAAATGTGTCGGATACGGGCCTCCATCGTTTCTTTTAATGGTGACCTGACGGCGATATTCGATGGCGAGTTCCTGCTACTTGAAGACGCTCAGACCTCCTTATGCGATGCCACGAGAGCTATCGCGTACATTCGTTGTGATCCAACTTCCGAATAGCTTAAACTTGCGAACTCACGAGAGCCATACTGACGTATACTAGGAGTATTAGGCTGTTTGTGAGGTTAGGTATTTTTCCATAAGGGTGGAAGGGCTGACGTACTGATGTTGAACTTCAGATATACAACTCTTCCGAAGCACCATTATTAGCCCGGATGTCCGTTGCAAATGAAGTTGGCTGTCAATGTTGTTGCCATCGAGGTGTGTATTGCATACACGGAAGAAACGGCTTTTGACATATGTCACTATTTACGCTCGGATCGCGCTATTAGACTCAGTAGACTTATGAGCAGCGTGTTTCAGAGGCCACACTCTGGGGAAACTGAGGTTGTCGGATAACCCAAAAGTATTAGGGGCTAACGTACATGAACACCCAAGGTGGGTGTAAAATACAAATGGCAATGAAGAGTAATTTGAATAGAGGGCGTAAATATCCAGCAGTATCCTTAAAATCAGGTACGTGATGGAATGAAATACGTAGTGTACTCGTACCGATATAATTTATAGCTAGCTGCCTTTCTTTCGAACCCCTTTCCATTTCACATCTTCACGTAGCTAAGCGTAGGCAGAGGTACTGTCAGAACACTTAGACGTTACAATCCTTATACTGACAATGCGACTTAATTATTTTATCCGTGGGGAGATACCGCTTAGCACCTCCACGGGAACTTAATTTTACCCACAGACGTTCATGATGGCGACTATCTTCAACCTAGGACATATCTCACGGGTACAGGAGAAACTCATCCTAACATAGTAGTGATAGCTTCAACTAACTCATATTTCTACGATGATAATAAGTTATCTCAAAACCGACGCCGTAATTGCTAACAAGCAATTAGGCCTTATATGTGACATGAAAAAGATTCTATAAATATACCAACTTAGTTTCGTATTGTAGTAAAACGCTCTAGAATCAGGGGTAGTCAGGATCCGGATAATTCGCCCACCGCCTCCCAGCCGAGCCAAACGCTGTCAAAGACTCCATACTCGGCTCCAACTCGAGGACAACAATCTCATTCTCAGCATCAGATCGAAGGAGTGTTCCCGGGAGGTACAGCGACTGCTGCGGCCCAACGATCCAATACCTCCCAAGGTTGAACCCATTCACCCAGACGTTACCCTTGACGCCGTTGGGTACTTCTAGGAAAGTATCCAACGCCGCTAGATCGGTGTTATTGCCACCGTCTACCTTGAAACTGCCGCGGAAGAACACAGGTGGAGATCCGGTCGTTATCGCGCTGGACCTAGGCTTGTTTTCGGCGGGATGTGCATCGAGAGGTAACGAGTACACGTCCCAGCCACTTACCACCTCAGATCCGATTGTCACGTTGCCTTTGATGCCCTTGTACGGGTCCTCAAGAGCTACGAACGTGCCGGACTCTCGGGACCAGTAGTCAACCCTACCGAGGTTCTCGACTAACAGCTGCAACGTATCGCCTGGATGGAGCGACAAGCTAACCTGTGCCGGTTGACTATACGTACTGTCGATAACACCCTGCCTCGTGCCATTCACATAAACAATAACCCTATCTCTAGCCCGATCTCCAGGCTGCAAGGTCCCTTCAAAACTAGCAGTGACTTGATGCTCGTAGAGGACGAATCCATAGTCCTGACCCAGCTCCTCCATCGTCAGCGGCGAGACGCTCGTCGTCTTATTTCCCAACGTATCGAATAATGGGACTACCGGGGAGAGAGTAATATTTCCAATCTCAAGGAGAGGGATATTCTCCGGCGGCTCGGGAATGCTTCCCTCCGGCACGTACTTCTGGATCGTGTCGCGAAACGTGTAATACATGTCCGTCGTACGACCGCTCTCGTCCAACGGCGACCCGTAGTCGTAGCTCGTGATGAACACCGCCGTATAGTTCTTCCAGATCGCACCATTGCTAAACCCGAAGTTCGTCCCGCCGTGGAACATGTACAAGCTTATCGAGTTATTTGCTCCAAGCACGTAGTCGAGGTCATCCACATACTGTTGGATTTGCGACGGATTCCCGACCGCAGTGTTATGGGGACTTTCCGATCCCCAGAAGTCGGGTCCAGAGGTATAGTACTCCCCGTCGAGCAAAGGGCCGAGCTCAGTAGGATCGCGAACATATCGATCCCGCGCCGCGAACCCTGATCTCGGGTCCCCGTCGATCGCGGCCAGTACGCCCGGGACCTCGCCGCCTTTAAGTGTCCAATCCACTCCGCCATCATTCGTGTAGAGCGGGACTTCGAAGTTCTCGAGAAGAATATCCCTTAGTCCTTGCGTGTAAGTGTGGTCTTCTCCATATGACCCATACTCGTTCTCAACCTGAACCATTAACAAGGGGCCACCCCTTGTTACCTGTAAGTCCTTCAAATCACTCGCAAGACGCTTCAAATAACTTTCCGCAGCCACCATGAACGCCTCGTTGGAAGACCGCACCCGCATCCCCGGAACCTGAGCAAGCCACGCAGGGAATCCTCCCCATTCCCTCTCGCCGCAAATATAAGGCCCAGGTCTAAGCACCACATTCAATCCTTCCTCCTGAGCGACCCGAAAGAACTTAGCAATGTCGTTACTTTCTTCATCCCCGGTCCATTGGCCTTGCCTTGGCTCAAGGAGATTCCAGTATACGTAACTAAAGATAGTATTGAGTCCCATAGCCCTAGCTTTAACTAAGCGGTCGCGCCAGTATGCCGGCGGGATTCGCTGGGGATCCATCTGCCCGCCGATAATGACATACGGCTCGCCATTGAGGAGGAAAGACCGACGATCGTAAGTGAAAGCCGGCGCCGCGGCCGATTGCGTCGTACTCGGCGAGAGATCCGTAGCCCACGCCGGGCTAAGGAAAGCCAGAAGACTCACTATAGGTTTATACCAGCGCATCCTCTACTATACTCGAGAATTGAAGTGCATTCCAACCTTTGCTATCTCGAAGGCATCCTCCCGTGAAAGGCAGATTAACCGGGGTATCATGCTGCCGGCGAGTGAGCGCTCCAGGCCCTTCCCCGCATTGGCTATGAGGGTCTATGGAATATACGAATCCGGGTTTGGTGAAGAGCGTTACATCCACTAGCAACCCCTAGCTATGAAATCCCCGGTTGAAGACCAAATACGACCTCCTACCCTAGCCCCACAACGATTATCACATAGCATAGATTCGTTATCTTAGGTACCTCTTAGTCTTGCTATGAATGATAGGAGTAATAAGACGACGGAATGTAGAATCCAGTAGTTGAGACAGGCTATTCTTAATGCTAGATTAAAACAGAGTATGCGAGTTTGCTTGCTTGTTGAGCAAAGCTGTAGTGTAGATCTAATGTGTACGAAGTCCTTCTATTTGCGCGCCTGACCTGTCCTCTACAACTCCGGACCAACATCTATAACGCGGAACTGCTTGTATGCGGCCAACAATCGTGCCACGCAGCATATTCTCACATGGAACCAAGTCGTCTATTTTGCGAACAAGGCTAAACTTCTGACCAGGCTCTTGTTCGATCAGGCTGGGGCTTCAAATATACGCTCGACGCCCTTCCATTCTCCTTTTGCCCTCTCCTCCCAGTAGCCCTCCTTACCTAGCTTCAACTTCCACAACTCCTCCCCGTCGGGCGCTTCGGGCACCTTGACGAACCACCGCGGCTTATACTCTTCGCCTTTATCTTCTAGATCTCTCCTCCTTGCGCGCTGCGCCTCCTCGAGCGTCACCTTCCACTCTTCAGCATCGTCAAGCTTGCCTTGTTCTGCAAGCCGCTGGTCAGGACGCAATCGGGTGTCTGTAGGTGGTAGCCGACCTTCTTCGACGGGTGTTATTTCGTTAAGCGTGGCACTAAATTCCGGCAGGCCGTAAGTGTTTGGCGCATTGGAAACGAGTTGACCAGCTTTCCAGATCTCCTTGTTAGTTGTTTTGCCACCCTCCACAACGCGAAGTGAGGACGTCCAATTGCCTGCGAGGCCGGTTCCAGTCTGGCTTCCGTCCGCATCGCAAAATTGGACCTCAACGTCTTCGCTCCGGCCGCCGAACATACCCTTCGTTTTGAATTCGATATTAGCTTTTGCTCCTGTAGAATCGTTGCATACGGTCATCGTTCCAACCGGCTCGACGTATTTCTCGCCCATGACGACATTTCTTAAGAACATCGTCGCATTATTCCACGAATATAGCTCATCAGTGCCATCTGGGAGTCGCAAGGCTACGCGAACCCGTCCTTCAGTAGTCAACTCGGCACTCTTGCCCCAGAATTTCTGTGACGGGGCGGGGCTTTGTGTGAGCGACCAGACTGCAGCATCGGCATGCATTGCAACGCGTAACGGACGGTGGGTGACCTTCTCAACGATAAGTCTAAATCCACCGGGAACCTCACTCTCGGTGCGAAGAAGCTCGAAAGTTTCGCCTAGAAGGGGGTTGAATGGTTTACGCATGGCACGCTCCTTTACACGGTTGACGCTGAGATTCGAAATAGCAAAGGCAGTGACGTATACCATGCGGTCCTTTGTAGCTTTCTGCTGCGCGGCTTGGTCAAGAAGCTGGGCATACTCGAGCTGTTCGGCCACACGCTGCAGGGTCGATATAGGCTCGTTGGACGAGACGGGCATGCTAATCGTACTTAAATCTTTACCAACGTTTTTGCGAAAGAATGCGATTAGACTAGGTGGCGGAACAGTAGCTGCGGGGATGGTTTTTCGTCGTTCTACAGCGATGTCGACCGGTAATGGAGCCAGAGATTTGGGTCGTACAGGGAAAAGAGCCGCGGCACCACTAGCTCCTGTATTCCCTTCACTGTCTTCTACGGACGATGTTGAAGATGTGTCATCAATAGTAGCATCGTCAGCCTCGGATTCGTGGGAATCTTCATCGCTCTCACGGCGAGCAATCATCATAACCTGCGCTCGGCTATCCGTTTCGCCTCCCTCAGCATCAAAAAACTCTTCAGTTGACGCTGTGGACTCAAGACTTCTCCTGGACGTCGAAGAAACAGGCATTGGTATTCGCCGTCTCTTGCTATTAGCAAGTACCTTAGTGAACTCTGAGACAACTGAATCCAGGTCATTCAGAAGAGCAGCGCAGTGGTCGTGTGTGTTTTGCTCCGCTTTCTCGCCGTGGCTAGACCCGTTCGGTCTAGCTGTAGCCACCGACCCTGGTGTTGGAACAGCCAAAGCTGACGAGGCTGCTGGTGTCAACGAATCTGGCGGAAGAGGCGAGGAGCTTTGCTTTCTCTTCCAGAATGGGCGCTTGTCCTGTGCTGCTGGAGCAAAGTAGCCATCACCGCTCTCTGAAAGAGCTGCTGGGGAAGCTGGCGATAAGTGTGAGCTTTGAGGGCGTTGCGGTTGTTTCTGTACAGCTATATCTTTGACCAAACGGCGCAGAGCATCTCGCGTACCGACAATACGGCTAACTAATGTCTCAACTTGTTCCCAGTCCCGGTCCTCATCTTGCTGTGAGTTCGGCAGGCTGGCTTGCTTAGGAGTTGCCACGGTAAGCTTTTCGGGAGAAGGTTCCTCGAGCATTGGTTCGAGTCCCCTTGCGATTCTACTTGCCTTTTCTAAGGCGCGTGCCCATTCATTGAATTCCTTAGCATTAGATGCTCTCAGATGCCAAACCTCTGCTCCAGAATCGATATTGATTTCTCTCCGTCGCTCATCTGCGGCAATTGCAGCCAAGCTCAGGGGAATAGCTCCTCTTAATGCAGATGAGTTCCGATTGTGATAATATGACATTGTGCAAGATGAATAGTCCAGGGAAAAAAATCTACGGGCATAACCCTGACCCTTCTTTCTCCGCCTCTTCAGTAGAGTACCCGTGTATGCAGTTGACGATGCCACCCCATCACTGCGTGCACCCATGGACTTGGCCCGTTGACGGCCGGCCGAGTGACTCTGTAAACTCTCAGTAGAGTCGGCTGGGATATCCCCTAGATGCGGGTTTGATTTTCCGAGACTAGTCCTGCTACTACTTGCGTAGGAATTAGCTTGGAGGTTTGGGAGATGGTGTGTTCCTTGCGGCGGTGCACCTGTAGGGTAGGTAAGAAGGACAAAGGTCGCTGTCTTGGATGTTTGTTTTGAGAAGGTATTGTCGAATATTAAGCCGAACATCCCCCCATGACCCTTTAACACATCATATGTTCCCATAGATACTTTGTCGGCCTCGCATTTTCCGTACCATTTCACTGGAATGAACCCCTTACTAGCCAATTGCTCCTGTGCCGTGCTAGAATCTTTCTTCGCAAAGCGACTACCCTTTCCTTGGCCATCAACATGTTCAATATCGGTATTTGAGAAGTCTAGTGTCGAGATAGGGTTTGTTGCGCCGGTGCCGGGGTGTTTAACGATGCCAAAATTACTAGGACACGTTCAAGTCAGGACTATGACGTTATTATGAATGAACAAGGCAAAGGATTATATGCTTACATCGACTTCTTATGCGGCTGGACACTCCATGAAATAGTTTGGCCTTCGTCGACCTTAACCCATCGCACAATGTAGGACTGTTCGGGGAGATGTTAGTTCTCGGGCCTTGCGGGAATCGTCATGTCTCATGTCTCCAGTAATAGGGCCAGGCACACCTTGCTGTGGATTTCCAGTTGCTCTATCCCTGCCATTTTCAAAGTCGCGGACGATCAGTAGTAACCAGCGTACGAATTAGTGTTCAGAAAAGTTGTAGCATTTCCGTCAATTGCCGAGAGAATTCCTGAGCGTAAGGAGAAAGACGATGTGTGTTATTTGTGAGGCAGCAAAGTAGAAATACGTCTGCCTATTTACTCCCCATAAGCTGATGCCACTGCAGTTTGCAGGATAGCTGCATTTAACTCAGCCACAGCAACTTTGGGGCTATGTACCTAAGGTACCTAGGAATCAATGTGTAAGTTCGATGTAAGAAGTTCGATGTTTCACGATTCCTCGTCTTGTGCAAGTTGCTGCTGAATATTGTTTCTGGTGAATTGTTTGGGAAAGAAAGGGGGAATTGGCAATTCAGTTTGTAAAATGCCAAAAGCATCCGTATGAAGTAAAGTATTGGTACGAGCTACGGATAGGCGGACACGACTTAACCATTACCTAGGTACGCTTGCTGGAGACGTACTTGCACGAAGCTATATTCGGCTAGTGCGTTGGCTAATTCAGATGAGTGGGTACATGTACCAGTTTGGAGATTGAGTTGTGGCGTACACTACGTACTACGTCAGTGTTATTAATAACTCATACCCCTTTTTGTTATGTAACTACCTAGGTACCTTGTACCTTAGGTAATCTTCACATGCCCCTTAAATTCAATCCTCAGTATAACATCTGATCAATCTAACATCTAAAATAATGATTCGACTCATAGACAGCACTATGCCAGCCACTTATCAAGATATGAGCTATATTCATCAATAAAAACATTAAAATAAAGTGCCCAGGCCAATACCCCCACTGACCTAAAGTACCTAGGTACCTAACTACTAAGGTGACAAACAACCAATTTAAAGACAGCGAGTTTATCAATACTTCAGCTAATACTTCTAAATCATCTCATCATGTAATTCTTAGAATGGTGACATTGTTGTTGTATTAGTATTACAGAATTAGTATCTATGTAGCTAGGTAGCTATTGTTTATATATGCGTATGCAAGCGGTAACTACCTGAATCAGTGCCTGAGTCACTATAGCTACGGGATCCCCAACCATAAAGCTTGAACTTGAATAGGTACCTTAACTCATTCTAGTTTATATGAATATTGTCCAATGATAAACGGGACGGAAAATTTCAATTTCAATGACCAAAATCTCCATAAGCTACCTTCACCTACTCAGAAACTACCCACCTACCAACTTATCAACTATTTTCTAGACAAGTTAACAATCACGAGCTATAACTGCCATCCTCTAGCTTTAGCAGTACCATCTATACTCGAGTAATATAGTTTTGATAACTATTAACTAAAGATGAAATTACTAGAGTACGTTGTTATTTAATAGCAGTACCTACCTGACTATCACATTATAACAATCAGACTATCATTACCTTGAGATTGCAAACTTGCTGTACGTTTTCATACTGTCACGGTTAATACAAGAGTCACGATATTATCTGGCGGTCCACCAGATAACATCGTGAATTAGAACCTGAATCAGGAACTTCATTCCTTCGAGTATATAAACAGCCAGAACATCCCAATAAGAGAGAGAGGGAATCTTTCCTTTCCATTCTTCTAACCATCCACCACTACACCAACACACCAACACCTTGTTCGCCAGCCTAAACAGCATTCTGAATAACATCCAGTAATTCCTTAGAGGCTCTTGGTACGACGATCTAGCAACACAAGCCGCCATGGAAGGTTGCTACAGAAAAATAGTACAGCGTCAATGCACACTTTGCGGCAAGATAATACCAGAAAAGTCGTACGATGTGCATTCTCCTAACTGTCCTAAGGAAATAGGAAACGGAAGATGCCAGTATCATCCCTGGGATTTACCGATTAATAAAACTACAACTCCCATATCGAGTTGTACTACATGCAGGAGCGCCAAGAAGTGAAACTTCGCGCGGCGGGATGTCATAGGTGCATGGGGAACCCTCTCTGTGCGGCTAGCCGGCACTAACATGAGCACTCTCCACGGGGATACCACCATGCATGACAAGCATTTAGCCAGCGTTCGGAGCTTATGCTTGTCACAGAACGAAGATATGCAAGTATTCTTAGTGGGGGCAGGTGTTTAGGAGACGCAAGATGGGCAGTTATTTCGCGATGATTTTGAGCTTTTATAGTCTTATGGTTACCAGTACCTGGTATAAGCCACAAATAGAGATATCCTAAACCCATATCTTAAGGTGCTGTGCCACTTGTGCAAATGCTGATGATGTTAACGACGTGTATAAGAAAGATGAAAGCTGGTAGCTTAGTTTAAATATCGTAAATGTTTGTCTTGCCGCACTCAAGATTACATACGGAATTTACCACGCTTGCCATAATTTAGTCTTGGTAATTTCGCTTTGTCCTCATAAATGGATGATATTAAGGTTACTCATGTATAGGGAATTTGCGTAATTACTTGAAATTGTTCTTGACAGTTCAAAGTTTAAGTGACCCCTCGTTTTATTAGTATTCCTCTTCTCATTTATAGCCCCTATTTGTTGGTTCATTAGTCTCCATATCTCCTATTTTCTTCTAGGACTACTTAAGCTATATCGTTATTAGGTGCTCCGATATTTTAGTAGCTTACGTCCATGTGTCTCTTCACATTAACAGATCGGTGTAAGGGAAAGGTTTCTATGTCATGTTCTTATCTGTATAATGTCTTCTGCTAGCTGTATCTTTGTGGTTTAATTTAATCGACATTTCAAAGTGCTTCTTGTGAAAATGTAAGATGTCACTCTACGTATAAAGTCTTCTAGCCTACCCGCTTTCTCTCATTAAGCTAAGGGATCCTTCTTAGATTACAGGTGTAAACTTTAGAACTAGTACTTCCGCCATAGATCACCCCCGTCATAAATCTTTGAATTATATATCACTACTTATTTGCAGTTAACTATGTGGGAAACATAGAAATAAATAAGTGATTCTTTGGTGACAACTAGCATCCTAACGATACATACGGATAACTCATATATTTTATACAACCATCCATGATTGTCTCCCTACCCCTGAGACTATATTAAGGGGAATAAGGGGTCTTAGAAATTGGAACCATTATAACCTTTGATATCTTAGACCTCTGGATTTAATAGCGGAAGTTATACCGAGAATACTCATCGTCCTTCTAGTAAGAACAAAATTTAATTCAATTCGCTGAATGACATTTCTTTGATTGATCACCAATATATCAACCTCCTGTTACCCTCTTTTCTGACATTGAATCCGATCTTCGAGCCAGCGGAGTCTCCACTCTAGTCCTTTCCGCCGGCCCTGTACTGTCCTCCCGTTTCTCAAGGTTTCCCGACGCCGTCTCTGATGGATCATTCGATTTCCAGGGATACAGTCCATCCTCCGACATCGGCGAGGGGGGCATATCCAATCTCTCATATCGACCTTGACTCCGAGTAGACGATGATAGTGATGAAACCACCGAAGTCCCCCTTTCTAGCGTCGCCGGTGAGAGCGCGGTTTCTGCCGGACGCACGGGGGGTGTACTCGCAACGATTTCTTCTGACTGTCGATTCTGCTCAAGCTTCCCATACGCCGGGATTTGCGAGTCGTACATCTCCTGCTGTTCCTGATTCTCTTTTTTCTGGGACCTGTGACACCGCTTGACAATCCAAATCGGGATGAACAAACCGGTGGCCACAGCCCCTGCCCGACCTAGGGCACGCGCGTAGCTTGAATCTTTGCCTCCTATCTCATTCTTCCTTCGCCGCTCTCTGGAGCCAAATATAGCTAATGACGCGAGGAATACGAGTACTATTAGCCCGACAATGACGATTACTGGAATGGCCCAGGTGGGAATTTGCTGGCTCGGGCTTCCACTTTCCAATGACGCGGCCTGTGGACTCAAGTTTGCACTGCTTAATGGCGTGTTGTGTGGACTTGGGCTTGTATCATTAGGTAATGTGCTCCCTGTGGAATCAGACACAGGTGTAGATGTAGGGGAAGATACAAGTGTAGACGTAGCTGAATGCGGATATGTAACGCCATAGGCAGATTTAGTTGTAGAACTGGACGTAGTAGATGATATTTTATTCGAGGTCGAGGGTGGTCCACTGTTACCGCCGCCTGTTTTATCGTATGGTTTATCGTTTTCCCCGTGCTTCCGAAGTTTTAATAGGGGATTGACACCTGTGGGTTCCTTTCCAGTCACGTCGTCGATCAGCGATGTATGGGAGCCCTTGGCCTCGTAATGCGGAAGAAAAGCGACCATTTTACCCACACAAGTCTAGAGTATCGCGAGCCTTTCTTCGTCCTCCAAAAATCGACAATTCACAGCTGGGTAAGTTGTCTAGGTTTCTAAATGCCAGCTCTTAGATTTACCATTAAAGCCTGGAAAAAGAAATTTTACAGCGAGCGTCCTGTTTATGGCCACTGTGAAATAAATCTAGGGCAAGTGGCCTATCTATTTCTGGACACCCGGCGCAGTTCACAGAAACATGTTACATAACAAAACCCGACGGGGCTGGGGCGTAGTCGATGATCGCGCGGTTAGTATTGGCTCGTGTTATGCACATCAGAGCCAACTAGAATCGATGTTGTAGGAGTGAAACAGTAGGGCTGCAGTCTTTATGGTCTGGGTATTATATTCGCGTCAACCTATATATTGGAAATAGACTACTGGTTCTCGTATGAGTTAGACCCCATAGACCGTGTCACCAACCATTTCATATAGATATCCAGACATTCTAATGAAACTATCGGTCTGCTTAACATATACTTGATTCATAGGACTCATGCGGCTGGCAAAGGTGGGAAGTACAGATATGCGTGGGGCGGTTGGGGGCGGCGCATCTCTACTATATATCGGGGGCTCAACTATTTTCTAGTATATTATAGAATATGATAGTTTCCTTTCATACGAGGGTTTTTATTATAATAAAATACGGTTATTGGTTAAACAATTGTTCTTTCTCGATTTACTTATAGTCGTTTCGTTAATTGAAACGTAAGGTAGTAGAGGCTCAGAGCGAGGGCCAGGAATTAAACGAATTAGCACTAGATCGACGAAACTCGGCCAGCTTACTCACCTGTAAGACTGGGTGGTTGCATTTAATATCTCAAACAGCGTGGGGAGCCTATGAGGACTTATACCGGCACTACAAACGTGAAGTGGCGCCTAGATACACTTCAGGTAGTTACAATAATCGATGGGGCTGAGCTCACACGCGTCGAGGTTTTACTCGGCGGCCCCAGCAGACTAGATAGGGGTAACTACTAGTAAGCATAAACTGGGCACGAGGATACTAAGACCAGCGGTCTCAACAAGTCAGTTAATTATTTGACCTGACTTGCACTGGCTTGACCTGAACTGGCCAGATATCTATTTTTGGCATATTTTAACGAGTCAGTTTTTTATTTTTTTTATTTGACTAGTTGCCAGTTAAATTGAAGCTATTCAGATCCACTTTTATATACATTTACGTGGTATAATTGGTGGTTACGAAGGAATTTTTAATTCAATGGTACGGATCTGTAAGTGGTTGTGTGTGGCTGGGTATGTGGCTAGGCATGTGGCTAGGCATGTGGCTTTTGTGGCTTTTGTGGCTTTTGTGGCTTTTGTGGCTTTTGTGGCTTTTGTGGCTTTTGTGGCCTTATGTGGGTTCGAAATCAGTACTGCCGGACTAAGACTAATCCGGCTCCGGGACCCAAGCCAGTCCGTAATTATCGTCAATTAAATAAAAAAAGTCATATATTTGACTTGAACTGGGTGCGGCCAGGCTTTTAATAAAAACTTGCTTGACTTGGCTTGTTGAGACCGCTGACTAAGACGACTATAAATGCGCTTCAACATAGGTCTGACTCGCCAGGTCTGACTAGTATGGGTAGCACGAATGATATAGGCATCACCTTGACTCTGCTTTGCCCAGGAGGTACCTATCTATATGCTACCCTCGCATGACAATGTTACACGACAGTTCAGCCACTACACTAGAGATGTATACGAGTTAGACTTGAACGATAAGACAAGTCTCAGTGCTATTTTTATACAAAAAAGTGCAACGCATGATTTAAAATTGGCGATGCTTCGAGGGTAAGGGGCCGTTGACATTATTAAGTAAAGATTATATGCATAACTCAACTGGAGGCAGCCCTGCGGGCTGCACAATATGCCCGAGTTTACATAATTGCGCACGTGCCAGATACTGCCCATTGAGTTACTTTCCTATTTGGGCCATGGAAAAAATTCGACACAATAACCCCTCGTAAACTCGGGCATACGGTATCATTTGAGGGTAATCTGCTTTCTTATAAATCGAACCATCTTAACATGACCAACTACCTTTTAAGCCTTTCGTCCATTGGGGACGGAAGAAACGAGAGAGCATCATTCATCATAAATGGCCAAAGCCCACTTTGTAGCCATCTTGTCAAACCCTCTCGAAAGGGTTGTTAATATAATGTTATGCTACTAGCTGCATTACCCGTCCGCGCAAACGCAAACGGAAGTATCTTTTTAGTTTTTAATTAAAATTACGTAATTTATAACTTTATAAAAAAGATTATATTACAAAATAAAATAAAAAAAAATTAATATTTAATTTATAAAACGGTTATTAATTAATTAAACTATTTAATAATTTAATTAATTTAATATATATATTTAATATTTTTTATATTTAAATAGTAATTTATTTTATAAAATAACTTTATTTTTATTTACTTTTTTTTTTATATAATTTATTATAAAATATAAAATTTAAATAAAATTATATTAACGTTAAATATATTATAATATTTAATTATAATAAAATTAATAATATATTTAAAAAAAAGAAAATTAAAAAAAAATAAACTTTTAATTAATTTTTTTTTAAATTAAAGTTAATTTATTTTAACTTTAAAATATAAAATATTAAATAAATTTAAAAATTATTATTAATAAATTTTATTATTTTATATTATAAAAAAAAATTACCGTATTTTTTTAAAAGTAATTTAAGTTTAGTTTTTTTTTTTAAAAGTTTTTCCGAAAAAAATTAAAAAAAGTTATTATAATACTTAAGTATTTAAATTAATTAATAAATAATATTATTATTTATAATAATATTTTTTAATTATTTAAATTGGTTTTAAATTATAATAATAATATTTAATTTTTTTATTATTTATTTATATAAACGTAAATAAAAGTATTTTTTTAAAAATTAATATTTTTTAATATAAAATAAAATTTACGTAATTTTTAAATAAATTTTATATAATTAATTTTTTATATAAATAAATTAAGTTAAATATTTAATTTATTTTTTATTATTTTAAAAAATATTAATAATTTATTAATAATATTTACCTTTTATTATATATTATAATATTATTTTTTTAATTTTATTTTTAACTTTTAATTTTTTATATTTTTTATTTTATTAATATTTAATATAGATTTAAAATTTTAATATTAATTTATATAATTTTTTATTAATAATAAATTTAATTATATTTAAAAAATTATATAAATTTTTTATTTTAATTATAATTTATTATATATATTTTTTAATTTATACGTTATTAATAATAGTTTTTTTTATTATATTTTTATTTATTATATTTATTATATTATTATTAAAAATATTTAAAATAAAAGTAAAAATTTTACTAAGTTATTTTTATTTATATATTTAAATTTATTTATTATTAAATAATATATATTTATAAATTATATTATATTTATTAAAATTTATTATTTCCACGTTTTTAATTTTTACTGTATTAATTTTAATTATAAATTTTTTTTATTTTATTTAATTATTTTATTTATTTTTAATATTAATTTATATTATAAATATTTAACTATATTTTATTATTTTTATTTTTAACTATTAAATTTTTTTTAATAAATTTATATTTAAATTATAAAAAGATTTAAAAGCTAATACACTAACTCGTACCGATTTTGCCAATAACTTAAAATGTGTTTTTTATGTTATTACGGTATAATTAATAAAATTTAAAAAAAACCACGTTATGTTTATTATTATTTAAAATTAATTAAAAATTAATAAAATATGTTAATTTATTATTGTAAAAATATTAAATATTATTTATAATATTGTAAATAATAAAATCTAATTTTATTATAATATTTATACATTATTTAATAATAATTTCTTTATTTTTATATTAAAATTTAACGTTATAATTAAAAGTTAATATTATTTAATATTATATTTTTTTACTTTATTAAAAAAATATTATAACATTAATATAAAAATATATATTTTATTTTATAATTATTTTTATAAATTTATTTTTTACGTTTTTATTAAATTATTATTTATTTGATTTATTTAAATTATTTTTATTAATAATATTAATAATAAATTATATTTTATTTTAATTTTTTAAAAAAATAAAAATAATATAATAAAATAAATATAAAAAATATTATTTATAAAAAAACTATTTTTTTTATTATTTAAAATAATTAATAATTAAAAAATTATTAGTAAAAAACGTGATTATAATTAAATATTTAAAAATTATAATTATATTAAATAAAATAATATTAAATATTTAAATAAAAATTAAATCTTTTTAACGTATATTAAATAAATAAAGTTAAATAATAATAGTAATATTAAATATTTTATTACTTATAAATGTTATAAAAATTTAATTTTTTTAATATATATTAAATAATTAAAACTTAATAATAATAATAACGGTAATAACAATAATAATAATAATAATAATAATAATAATAACAGGGTTAAATTTAATAATAATAGTTTTTTTAATAGTTATTTTTTATTTTTTAATAATAACAATAATATTTTTAAATTTTTCGAAAATAATAACGTTAAATTTAACCATATAATTTTAAAAATTAAAATAAAATTTAATTTATTTTTTTTATTTACCAATTTTAATTTTATTTTAAATTTATTTTTATTTATTATAAATTTAAATAATAATGATTATAATTTAAATTATAATAAAAACCATATTTTAAATAATTTTATTACAATTTTTATTAATAATAAAATTGATTTTAAATATATTTTTAATAATTATATTTATTAAAAAATTAAATTTTTATAAATATATTATTAATAATTAAAATTAATAAGTTTTTTTAAATTAAATATAATATTTAATAAAATATATACAAATAAATAATTAAAAAATTAAATAATTTTATAATATTAATATATAATTATTTGTTAATTTTTAAAAGATTTTAAAATATATAATATTTAAAAATTTATTAAATTTTATTTTTAATATTTTAAAAATCTTTAACTTTTAAATAAATTTTATTTTTAATATAATTATGTAAAATTATTTATAAATAAATATTAAAATTTTTTAATTAATATCGATTATATTAAAAAATTATTTTTAAAATTTATTTATAATTATAATAAAATATATTATTATTAAGAATTGTTATTTAAATTATATAAATAGTTAT